AAACAAGTGAAACAAGTGATTTATGTATCGTGTTAATCGATTGCCCTCCTTAGTAATCGATTACCTCTGCATAAAATTGAGTTTCATGCTTGCTAAAGCTCGGGTTAATCGATTACCATGTTTGGTAATAGATGATGGAAGTCCTCCTAGCATTGATGGATGAAGGAGTATCAATGGGAGGCCTCCTTGAATCCACAGATCATAGTCCTTCAAAGGCCTAGTCTTGGATGATGTGATGACCAAAAATGAAAAAGGAAGGAAGGTGTTTGATGGAATGCTTGAGAGACACTCTAAGATTTGGCTAACTCCAAGGTAGATGAAGGTCACTCCTAGGGTTTTCACTCAAGGTTTAGATAGGCAGGGTCCTTGACCGAAAATGGACCAAGAGAGACTAAGGAAATATAAAGGCATAAAAGACTCACTCTATATTAATTTCCAAAGTGAATACATGGAGCAATACCTATGGTATATATAGATTAGGGTGTGAGGTCATGGCAAGGCACACTAATGTGATGGTTAGGGTTTAGCAGTGTGCACATTTCCATGCTAAATGTGAGGGAAATGAAACACAAATCCATGCCAAATCAACCCTACATGTCACGCCTACTTGGGGGCCAAGGATAGAATCTTTGGTTTGGTTAAGCTACAACTAGGTGCATAATAAGACTGTGCAACCTAGATGCCCTCCACTTGGGCCTAAGCCTCTCCAAGTCCAAAAATAACTCCAAAAACTACCAAAAATGTGTCTAAGCCATTCCCGCTACCCTATTATAATTCCCTAGCTATAAAATAAAATCTTATAATCTAAAGCACCCCAAAATACAAGGGTAAAAATAGGAAATTAAAGATAAGGGCAAAATAGGAATAAAAATAAATCATATACTAACAAAGCTTAGGAGAATAATTAATACTCTATAACCATAAGGAGCATGTCTCTAGGGGTGTTAGCTCCCCTATCCTCTTCCACTCCCCTAGTCATGGACCTAGTGATGGGTCCCACATATAGTTCCAAGGATGGTCCTTCATCATCTCCTCCTTCTTAAGAAAGATTTGTCCTCATATCAATATTCTCATCCCCTCCTTCTTGAGAAGGATCAGGTGTATTCTTCTTTGATCTTTAGTCTTTGTTTTTACTTGCGGGTATGTTACTCTTTGGGATAGGGTGTCCCAAGAAAAGTTAAGAGAAATCTTGAGATTGTTGTCTCAAGTGGGTTCTTGTGAGGTGTAAGAATTCTGTGATTGTAAAATCTTGTGGAATAAAGATTGTGTAATTTTTATTTTGATTGTAATATTGCTTGTACATGGTGTGTGTAAAGAATATTATAGTAGAATGACTTAATTTAGTTGGATGCTAATTCTTGTGAAAATTGTTAAAAAGAATTTCTAGAAAATGTTTCTTGACATGTTATCAATTATTGTTCATACTCAGTTTATCATGTAAGCAATTTGGTAATAATAAAAGAAAGAAGGTAATCACTAAAATCAACTTGGATTACAAATATTTGTTCTACTGTGTGGTAAATTTGATAATTTGTATCTTTTACTGATTTGTATTCTAAATTTGATTAATTGATATTAAGAAAAGAAATAAGAGAATAAGAAAAATTTTAAAGAACATAAAAAGCCATCTAAGTGAAGAATCTATTCAACCCCCCCCTTCTAGATTCGTGTTCTACCGGGACCAAAAAGTATTTGTGACAAGATACCGAAAGAAGCATGGAGTGGAATGAGATCATCAATCAGACATCTCAGAATTTTTAGATGTATAACATATGCACATGTTTTAGATCAACTCTGAAAGAAATTGGATGGCAAAGGAGAAAATGTGTTTTCATTGGCTACAACTTAAATTCAAAGGCGTATAAAATTTACAATCCAATGACAAAGAAGGTGATTATTAGTATAGATGTGATATTTGATGAAAAAGGCATAAGATTAATCTCCTAAATCCCAAAAGGAGAAAATGGTGATCTTTGACAACCTAATCGAGTTGCTAATGAACCAGAATCTTCTAACAGACCAAGGAGATGTCGTCAACCACCAACTAGATTGGAAGATTATGTTATGGGTAATGATAATGACCTATTTTATGAGAAGATTATCAATTTTGCTTAATTTGTCGATTGTGGGCCAGTAACTTTTGAAGAAACCTCAAGTGATGATAGATGGAGAAAAACAATAGATAATGAGATTCATGTCATTGAGAAGAATGAAACATGGGAGTTGATATATTTGTCAATAGATAAAATGCCTATTGGAGTGAAGTAGGTTTACAAGACAAAATACAATCCCAATGGAGAAGTTGATCACTTTAAAGCAAGGTTGGTGGCTAAAGGGTACAAGTAAAAATCAAGTATTGATTACTTTGAAGTATTTTCACCTATTATAAGATTGGATACAATTTGCATGAGTATTTCTCTCTTAACTCAAAATAATTGGAAGATATATCAAATGGATGTTAAATTTACATTTCAAAATGGTATTTTGGAAGAAGTATATGTTGAGCAACTTGCAGGATATGTAGTAAAAGGAGAAAAAGATAAAGTATACAAATTAAAGAAGGCTTTGTATGGGTTAAAGCAGACATCAAGAGCATGGTGCAAGAAAATTAATTCTTACTTTGTGCAATATGGTTTTGAGAGATGTCCTTTTAAGTACATTTTATATGTTAAATTTGTTGATCCGGAGAAATTATTATTGTGTGCCTATATGTTGATGATATAATCTTTATTGGCAACAATCCAATGATGATTGTATAATTCAGGGAGGTTATGATTAGTTGCTTTGAAATGACGAATGTAGGCCAAATGTCCTATTTCCTTCACATTAAGGTTGTTCAACAGGATGATAAAATTGTTATCTTTCAAAAGAAATATGAAGTGATATTTTGAAGAAGTTCAAGATGGAGCCAATTTTCACACCAGTTGAAGAAAAGTTAAAGATGAGTAGAGAAAGTAAAGGCAAAAAAGTGGATACAAAAGGTTGATTGGAAGTTTGAGATATTTGATTGTAACTAGACCAGATATAATTTTTGGAATTGAATTGCTTAACAAATTCATGGAAGAGCCACGTGCTTATCATTTGCAAGGAGTAAAGAAAAGTCTTCATTATATCAAAGATACTTTAACTAATGGATTCTTTTACATTAATAATAACGATGCGAAACTTGTTGGATATACAAATAGTGACTCAACATGAGATGTGAAAATGCGAAAAAGCATGTCAGGATATGCATTTCATTTAGATATTGGTGCAATATCATGGTCTTCAAAGAAACAACCAATTGTTGCACCTTTTACCATCGAACTTGAATACATTAAAGCAACCAATTGTGTTACACCTACACTATGGTTGAGAAGAATTTTAGAAGTGGTGCACCAAAAGCAAGATACTCCTAGTACATTATTTTGTGACAACAAGTTTACAATTATATTGAGTAAAAATTCAATATTTCATGAATGGTCCAAACACATTGATATTCGATTTTATAAAATACGAAAATTGATAGCAAATAAAGAAGTAGAGATTAATTATTGTCAAACTAAAGAACAAATAGCAACTATTTTTACAAAATCCTTCAAGATTGAGTTATTTTACAAGTTGAAAAACATACTCAGAATGATGAAAACTTGATTTATGGGAAGCATTGTCAGAAAAATATTATTGAATCAAACTGTATTCAAAGGTTACTGCATGACAGCATGTTTGCATAATTCTCAAGTATTATAACATTTGATTTTTATTAAGATTGAACAACTAACTGTTCATCGTCATAGTTTTTTTCCTTAAGCATTAAGTATTTGCATTTATTAATAGATTAACACTTTGTAATTGCCTATAAAAAGGCAGCGAATGTACCGCAAAGAGAATGTATCATTTTGAGTGAAAACAAAGTGAATCAAGTTATTGAGTCATAGAAGAAATATTCATCCTCTCTCTCAATTTTGTTCCGCTGAGTGAATGTGTGTGAATTAATTGTTGTCCCACCGATAACATTTTGTATCCATTTGTTGATTTATCCATGCAGAAACTTATATTATCTTCATACTATCTATACCGTATGGGACCGAGGCCGACCCGACCGACCCGACCGAATACCCGAACCCAACAGAGACCGAAACCAATACCCGAACACACCAAACACTCGCCAAACAGAAGGGGTCGGTTTGCTCGGCCGATCCCCGGGACTCCACCAGTATGATTATGAAGGGATTAATTTAAGGAATAAGCCGGATTAGCCCCTTGATTTTCCGGGGCCCAGCTCCTAATCACGGCCCAATAAGAAACACTACAAATAGACCACCTTCGAGGTATGTAACTAACTTTCAACTACCGCATTTATTACGCCAAACACTTACTTGAGCGTTGGAGTGTCTTTGCAGGCACACCTCCCCTCACATCGGACTACCCGGATAGGAACGAGAAGACCGAGACCCAGGACCCGACCCGCTACAACAAGGATAATTGAAGTGTGTATCCTAACACAGGAACATTTGGCGCCCACCGTGGGGTCGAAGAGACGCTTCAGCCCCTTTGAATTCTATGACTGAGACCGAGATATGGTAGTAACACGCAAAGGACAATCAACAACGACTCAACCGATACCTAACCCCGAGAACAATCCTGCCATGAATAACCAGGAACGTTTTCCATACGGAATGCCTCAGACTCAACCGGATCCTGTGATACAAGAGGTCCAGCCGAACGTTAATCAAGCTCAGCCCGACCTCCAAGATGACTTGCGCGCAGTGCGCGAAGAAATGGCGGCTATCCGAAGATAGAGAGAAGTCGATGCCAAGGAGCTGGCGGAGTTGCGTCGACAAAATGCCGAGCTCCGAAATCTGAACCAAACCTATGTGCCGACCACTCCTACACTCATAGAGGAGTCAGCCTATCACGCTCCGACCGATCAGATTACCCGAACACCAGCCACCTCTATGATAGGCAACAAGGCCGACTCCAACACGCATTCACTAAGGCATCCCTTCTCCCGAAGGATAATGGAAGCTACCTTATTAGACCACTGGAAAAGCTTGCCGATCGAGAAATATGATGGGTCCACCGACCCCGAGGAGAACTTGAATGTTTTCCTAACACAAGCAACCCTCTCTACTCAAGACAACTCGGCATTGTGCCGAATATTCCCCACGTCACTGAAAGGAAGGGCCCTGAGTTGGTTCACGAGGTTGCCGAGCTCTTCTATCGACTCGTTCAACGAGTTGTCATCCCAATTCACCCTCCAGTTCGCAACGAGTAAACCATACAAGACGACCTCGTTAGCCTTAGCGGGGGTTCGTCAAGAGAAGAAAGAAAGTTTGAGAAGTTTCATAGACCGATTCAACAAAGTCGCCATAGAGATCGGCGACCTTAACCCGGCCGTGGCGATGGACCGGCTGAGCACTGCCCTCAGGCCGGGGACATTTGTGAATAGCTTGTGCAAAAAGCCTCCTGTTGATATGAATGATGTCCGACGCCGAGCTGAAAAGTATATGCAAATGGAGGAGCTGGCGGAGACTCGGAATCAAGCCAGGGCCGAGGAGGGCCATAGCCGAAAAGAATCCGGCCGAGAGCCGATGAGAAAGCCGAATGCCGACCCCTCGAGCATTCATCCCCCGAGGGGCCCACGTTATACAGCGTATACTCCCCTTAATGCGAGTAGAGCCAAAGTAATGGAGCAGGCCCTTGCATCAGAGATCCTCGTGATGCCGAAAAGGGCGAACACGCCCCCTAGGGCCGACAAGGCCAAGATGTGTCGATTCCACCGAAACAGGGGGCACTCAACGGAAGAATGTTCAGCACTAAAAGACAAGCTTGAGGACCTTATCAAACAGGGTCACCTCGCGAGCTTCGTCACCTCTCAAAACCACCAGTCAAGGGGAGGTGACTACCACTCTCGGGAAGCACCACTGCCGAGGGATCGGCGCCGCCGATCCCGATCGGCCAAAAGGAGAGACCACTCACGACATTCCCGATAAGGCAATGACCGACCAAGGAAGGTAATAAACACCATAGCCGGAGGCTTCACTGAGGGAGGTTCCACATCTTCCGCGCGAAAGAGACACCTCCGCGCCGTACGATCAGTGAACAGTGTAAACCAGCCGAAGATGCCGAGGATGCCTTCTATAACTTTCTCCGACCGAGATTTCCGGGGCGTCGACCCCATCCAAGACGACCCCATGGTGATTTCAGTCAAAATGCACAACTGCATTGTGAAGAAAACATTGGTCGATCAAGGGAGCTCGGCCGACATCTTGTACTGAAATACATTTGTGGGATCCCGGAGGAGAGCTTAGAACCATACCAAGAACCACTGGTAGGCTTCTCAGGCGAAAAAGTGATGACGAGGGGATGTATTGACCTATACACCCATTTTGGCTTCGATCAAAAGTCTTCCAAAGAGATTAAAATCCGTTACATTGTGGTGCACGCGAACACATTGTACAACATCCTTCTAGGCCGACCCTCGATCAACGCACTAGGAGCCATCGTCTTGACCCCCCACCTGTGCATGAAGTTCCCTTCGAGAGATGGACAAGTGATAACCGTGCATGCCGACCAGAAAACAGCAAGAGAGTGTTATCTCTCCAGCCTTAAAGTGCAGCCACTGGCCGACCCCCCAAAGACGAAAGGTGTGAATGTAGTAAGGCAGCAGACGACTGAAGACATTGACCTCGACCCTCGGTTAGGTGAAGAAGAACGAATCGACCCTGCCGAGGACCTCATGCCTTTTCAACTCGGCAAAACACCCGAGCAAGTAACAAACATGGGATCCCAGCTGAGCGAGATCGACTCAAACTAAGTCAAGCGTGTAGTCAGGGGCAACCGAGACCTCTTCGCGTGGACGACATCAGACATGGCAGGAATAGATCCCAAATTCCTGTGCCACCGACTAGCCGTATGCCGAGACGCACGACCAGTCGCACAAAAGAAAAGAAAAATGGGGGACGAAAGCGAAAGGCCGCAAATACTGAGGTAAAAAAATTGCTACAGGCTAAATTCATAAGGGAGGTTACGTACACGACTTGGCTAGCTAACGTGATTCTGGTCAAAAAAGAAAACGGAAAGTGGAGAATGTGTACCGACTACACCGACCTCAACAAAGCTTGCCCCAAGGACGCCTATCCATTACCCTGCATTGACCAACTTCTTGACGGGGCATCCGGACACTCCATCTTCAGCTTCCTCGATGCCTATTCCGGCTACAACCAGATAAAGATGCACCCGGCCGACGAGGAGAAGACGACATTCATCACCGAGAACGCCAACTTTTGTTACCGAGTCATGCTGTTCGGACTGAAGAATGCCGGGGTGACCTACCAGAGGTTAATGGACAAAGTGTTTCACGGTCAAATCGGCCGAAACATTGAGATTTATGTGGACGATATGGTGGTCAAGTCCGATTCCCTGGCCGATCACGTAGCTGACCTAGACGAAATCTTCAGTGAACTACGCAAGCACAATATGAGACTCAACCCCGAGAAATGCACCTTCGGGGTCAAGGGGGGCAAGTTCCTATGGTTTATGCTTTCAGAAAGGGGGATAGAGGCAAACCGAGACAAGTGCCTGGCCGTGTTGAACATGCGAAGCCCGAACAACCTCAAGGAATTACAGCGACTGTCAGGAATATTGGTCGCGCTGTCCCGATTCCTCCCCCGTTTGGCCGACAAGATTAGTCCGATGTCGAAGCTTTTACGCAAGGCTTCGGCATTCTCGTGGAACGAACCGTGCGAGGAAGCCTTCACAACATTGAAAACGACCTTAGCGACACCGCCGATCCTCACGAGACCAGATCCTCTGAGCCCACTACTCGTATATTTGACCGTTTTCAAAGAGGCGATCAGCTCGGTTATAGTGCAAGAAAAAGAAGGCACCCAGGCTCCCGTATATTTTGTTAGCCGACTCCTACAAGATTCCAAAATTCGATATCAGTTGATCGACAAGGTGGCGCTTGGCTTAATACACACTTCCCGACGCCTACGACATTATTTCCAAAGCCACCGAGTAGGCGTCCACACCGACTTTCCGATCTCAAAAGTCTTAGGCAAGCCTGAACTCCCCAGAAGAATGATGGCCTGGTCAATAGAGCTCTCGCAGTTCGATATCACCTTCAAACCGAGAGGATCGATCAAGGCTCAATGCCTGGCCGATTTCGTAAACGAGCTCCATCCCCACGGTCAATTCAAAGAGCACTGTTGGACCCTCCACGTGGACGGTTCCTCAAATTGTCGTGAAAGCGGAGCAGGAGTAATCCTGGAGGGACCCAAAGGGATAGTCTTAGAACAATCACTCCGCTTTCAGTTCAAGGCTTCGAACAACCAAGCCGAGTATGAAGCCCTATTGGCCGGACTGAGACTAGCCGAAGACATGGGTGCGTCGAGAATCAAATGCCTGACCGATTCCAAAGTTGTGGTCGAGCAGGTGGGCGGTAGCTTCCAAGTAAAAGACCACAACATGATGAAGTACTGCCATGCTTACCAAAAGTTGAAGGCAAACTTTCAAGAAGTGTTGGTCGAGCATATCCCGCGCGAGGACAACACCAGAGCCGATCAATTGGCCAGATTTGCCGCAACCAAGAAGTCGGGCCAACTAAGAACCATCATTCAGCAAGAACTCGTCCACCCCAGTGTTGAGGAAGAAGTCGTGGCAAACGATGTTACCGAGCTCCCAGACCAAAGTGACTCTCCGGATTGGCGAGAGGAAATCAAGACATTCATCACCAATGGTGTCACCCCAGCCGACCCAACCGAGGCAAAACGACTGAGAACACAGGCTAGTAGATACGTCTTCATCGCCGACCTGCTATACAGGCATGGCTTCTCCACTCCGCTACTCAAGTGCCTACACCCCACCGAGGCCGATTACGTGATACGGGAAGTTCACAAGGGAATTTGTGGAATGCACTCCGGAGCCAGAACGACCGTCTCCAAACAACTACGAGCCGGGTACTATTGGCCGACCATGAACACCGACTGCGAAACGTTTGTGAAGAAGTGTCAACCATGTCAGAAACACGGCAACCTGATCCACCAACCGGCCGAGCAACTGCATTGTATTCCTCTTGCATGGCCATTCGCCACTTGGGGGGCCGACATACTAGGTCCTTTCCCGATTGCTAAGGGGCAATGCAAGTTTCTCATTGTTGTCGTGGACCTCTTCACCAAATGGATTGAAGCCGAGCCCTTGGCATGTATCTTGGTCCATCAAGTCCAAAAATTCTTATGGAGGAATATCATCACTCGGTTCGGCATCCCACATACCCTGGTGACCGACAACGGCCTTCAGTTCACCGACCGAAAACTTAACGAGTTTCTAGCTGGCCTAGGAATCCAATACAAGGTCACATCTGTCGAGCACCCACAAACGAACGGTCAGGCCGAGTCCGCCAACAAGGTCATTCTGACAGAGTTGAAGAAGCGGCTGGGAGAAGCAAAGGGAGCATGGGCCGAACAGTTTCCCGAGGTACTTTAGGCCTACCGGTGCACCCCTCAGTTAACCACACAAGAGACCCCCTTTCGATTAGTCTATGGGTCCGACGTGATGATTCCGGTGGAAATCGGGGAGCCTTCATTTCGCCGAGCCCATTTCGACGAGTCGAATAATGAAGCCGAGCTCCGAATAAACCTGGACATCGTAGAAAACACTTGAGACCGAGCACAAATCGTGGCCGAGGCCACGAAACAACGCTACAAGAGAAGGTTCGACAGCAGGGTGAAGCTTAGAGAATTCAGAGAGGGAGATCTTGTTTGGAGAGCCACGGGCGAGGCTAGAAAAGATCCGAGACAAGGAAAGCTTGCTCCAAATTGGGACGGACCCTTTCGAATACGACACAACCTAAATAACGGAGCATACAAGCTAGAGTACTTATCAGGAGAACCAATTCCGAGAACTTGGAACTCCTCGCATTTAAAAGTGTATTACAGTTGATGTATCAGTGCACTCTTTTCCTTGACCGACTCTTTTTTCCCTAAGGAGGGTTTTGGGTCGGCAAGGTTTTTAATGAGGCACTTCATTAATAAAAACTTCAAATTTCATCATGTTGTTTCCTATTTTTTATTGTTGTTTAGGTCACACATAGGCCGAGCACTACGCACTCTCGCACACTTGAACCAAGCAATCCTTGGCCGACCGCTCCAAAGTACGTTCGAGCCCTACAGGTTTCCCTCCCGAGTAACCTCCTCAGCTAAGGATGCACCTAGGCTGAGCACTACGCATAACGCGCGCTTTAACCGAGCAATACTCGGCCGACCATGAAATGCACACTCGCGCCCTTCAGGTTTCCCTCCCGAGTACCCTCCTCGGCTAAGGATGTACCTAGGCCGAGCACTAAACACAAGCGACGAGGCCGAGCTATCCACGGCCGACCACTAAAAGGTGTACTCGCGCCCTACAGGTTTCCCTCCCGAGTAACCTCCTCGGCTAAGGATTCACCTAGGCCGAGCACTAAACAAAAGCGATGAGGCCGAGTTATTCTCGGCCGACCACTAAAAATGTACTCGCGTCCTACAGATTTCCCCCCGAATAACCTCCTCGGCTAAGGATGCACCTAGGCCGAGCATTACGCACCAACGCACTAGGGTCGAGCAATCTTCGGCCAGCAACTCAACTACGTGAACGCACCAACATACAAGCCGAACACACTCACGCGGAGAACTCTTCAGCCGAACGCTCTCTCACGCTCCCATTCTCGGACCAACCACTCATTCACGAAATTACTCTTAAACCGAGCACTCTCATATGCTCATGGCCTAACATTGAGAGACCGACCACTCAAAGGTGCACGCGAGCTCGACAATGGTCATTATACTAAAGACTGTCATCTCAAAGGACCTGTTTCTTTCAAGTGTGGGAAGCTGGGTCATGTGTTTTCTGAGTGTGGACAACCAAAGGCGCACGCAAATACTTCTGAGCCCAAACCGAGACCTCCTACAACTGGGAGAGTTTATACCATGACCGGAACTGAAGCGACTCAAAACAA